TTATTAGTTCATCTGTAAGTATCACAGTTGAAGGTCGGAACCAAAATTCTGGGGGAGGAGGAAAAGCTTATGATTTTTTTTTTAATTAGTTCTCTTACACTTATTTTTGTTTCCAATGTGGAGACGTATTGGATATTTAAGGCAACTAATTGTTCATGTTTTTTCCAAACTTTGGGTTGTTTGTGACTAGGGTCTTGGAAAAGTTGGATTGTCACAGAAAAGTATAGTTTGGATTGGATGGGTTTTAATAGTATTGGAGAATTTGCTGAAAGGAAGATTAAAACGAGAATGAAAACGGTCCAAATCAAAGTTTTTTTATTTTGTATTTTTTATAACTTAAAATAGCAGTGTCTGAAGAGCTTTTTAGGTTAGATACTGTTTGGATTATACATGTGTTGGTGGTTGAGTTAGTGCTTTCTTGACCGGTTTGAGAAATGGCACTTCTCAGAGTTGATATCTGACTAGAGATGTTTTTAAAACAAAATTTATGTTGTTCCGTTCTTTTTGCATGTTCTAGAATTTGCATTGTTTGCATTATACATAAGAATGTGAAACTGCCAATAAGAGAGTGAGTGGGGCTTACTTTGCTTATGGAGGCTCCAAGTGTTTCAGAAATCACATTGCAAATGAAAGGAATTAAGCGTGTTTGAGGTTGCTTTTTTACCTTCATTGCAATAGAGGACCAGACCGATGGAATATCGATTCATATTGGTTTCTTTGCCTTGTTATTGCAGCACTTGATCACAGCTATAATCTGCTTTCAACTTTGTTCAATGTTGAAGAAGTAATATTCACTTTGTATGCATTAAATTCCCATTCTTGTGATATGCTCTGTTCAAGTAATCTCTTAGTCTCTTTATTGTTTCTTGGCACCTATTAAATTGGGTCTTTCAGAACAAGCGTAGGTGTTCACATTATGTTTTAGATGGTCAAACTCATACCTTTGCAAGCAGTCCATAATTTGTAGATCAGCAACCTCATTTTTTTTGTTTTTGGTGTTTCTATTCTGATTATAGGGTTCTGAGAGACCTTGGAAGCACGTAGAGCTTTTCAATCAAAAGTATATGGCTAGAAGCCTTAGCCAGAAAATGGCTGAACCTGCATCGGAATCGCTTACATGCACAAGAGATGAAGTTGTGGAAAAGAGAAGTTTGAAGAGTGGAGAAATTTCCCAATCTGAAGAGTTTGTTGCTAAATTATCACTTCAAACCACAGGAGAGGAGAGGGATGACAATAATGATCTCACAAGAATACAAAGTAAACCAGAAAGATATGGAATGGAGCCACATGAGTCTGTGATAGAAAATACTACAAAGAGAGCTTTTCTCAACCACCAAGGGGCTAAAAGTGAAGAATATGGTTATAAAGCACAGTTAGCAAACACAGAGGTTAGTAATGGTACTAATGGATATCTGGGCCAACAAATGGCTAAGCATGTGGAGAATGATGTCAACCTACCTGACTGTACACAGGATGGAAATGGTGAGAAGGAAGATTTTAAATTCCAGCAGATAACTAGACGTGATAAATCTGATGCTTATTCTTCTGAATACATAGAAGAGATTGGCAAGAATACCAAATCTGTATACCCACAACCAGACAACATAGAAGCTGGTGATGAAAATTCGCCCTCAAATGCTGGAGTGCAAAGTAATCAGAGTCTAGATTCAGATGTAGGCCCTCAGAAAGGAAGGTACTTCTATTACGATACACCTCTTTTTGGAGAAACCGGATCTTGGATTCCTGTTTCTATTCCACCAATGTCAGAAAGTGAGCATGACGAGTGGAGCAGAGGTTTTAGCTTAAACGGAGGGTACCTTCCGGAAGGGGATATGGGCTTGAGTGGGTTGGTAGGTGAAGACAAGGAATTGACCATGTGGGATGTGGTATTGGAAATGTTACTTGTGGCACGAGGGAAGGTCAGTTCCATGGCTTCTGGTGATATTGATACAATTTCATGGATATCTGGTCACCTAATTGAGCAAGCATGGAAAGAGATGGCTGAGACTCTCACAGAAGCTAACTTCGGTAACGCCCAAGAAATTCTTGAATCAGACCCACCAAAATGGTTGCCTGACAGTGCAGCTTCATCTTGCATGTTATGCAGTGTGAAATTTCATCCAATTATGTGCACCAGGCATCATTGTCGGTTCTGTGGAGGTATATTCTGTGGAGAGTGCACGAAAGGAAGGAGCTTGTTGCCAGAAAAGTTTCGCACTGGGGATCCGCAACGGGTTTGTGATGTTTGTTTCGTTCGTCTTGAGTCGGTCCAGCCATTCTTGATGGATCAAGTAAGCCGTGCTGCACAGTTGCCAACACATGATCTGACTGACCTGAGTACATTAAGATCCTGGGTAAATTTTCCATGGGGCCAGTCAATGGAGTACGAGATCTACAAGGCCACAAATACCATTCGGGGTTATACTAAGGTATGGAGCTGGTTCAATTTTACTCTTTAACTTTCTATAAACCAGCAGGTTAGACCACAACATTGCGGTTAAAGGCTCTTGTGCGGACTCTATTTTCTAGACACTTATTGCTTGGCTTCCCAGCTTTTATAGTTCCTATTGTGCATTCACTATCTTATTGGGTGACATTTTGTCTCATGGACTCAGTAATTTTATAGGGGAAACCTCTGTAATTTCTTCTCTGTAAAAGCATGTGAATTATGTTGTTTTGGTTTCCTGAATGCTTTTTATGGACCTTGTCAAGAATCTCATGCATGTATGACTGCTCAGGTTGGTTCTCTGGCACCTGAAAAGAAAATTCCAGAAGCTATTCTACGAGATGCGAAAGGGCTAGCCATACTCACTGTTGTCAAAGTAGGAATGATGGTTACATACAATGTTGGAACTGGATTGGTGGTTGCTCGAAGGGAAGATGGTTCATGGTCTCCACCCTCTGCCATATCTACCTTTGGTGTGGGCTGGGGTGCTCAGGTATCTAAATTTTCTTTCTTAAAGCATTCATTATAATAATGCCATGGTCTGTTTCACTGTAATCCTTGTGTAACTAAATTCCTCAGTAATGATCTTCACACAACGATGCCAAGGTGTGTCCTCCCCCTCCCCCCCACAAAAAAAAAAAAAAGAAATTAAAAAGTCAGTTCTGTTTATGGTTGTTGCACCAAACTATGGAAAAGCAAATGTAAAAAAGTTATCTGAAACTTTTGCATTTTCCCTTGCCACTTCTATATCTCAGGGGAGTCCATGCGCAATTTAGAGGACAAGAATAACAATGTTTTTGTGATCTTGGAGTAACTTATTTTTTAGCCTCATTTTTTCTAAGTGAACAACCCAATTAACACATTTTCAGTTCGAACATGATTTTCTTTCTTCAAGGTCTGATGAATGAAATCATACCAGATACCATGCTGACCTCTTGTTATGTATGTGGTCATAGGCTGGAGGAGAATTGACTGACTTCATTATAGTGCTGAGAACTAACTCTGCTGTGAAGACCTTCAGTAGTAATACACATCTATCAGTTGGAGCTGGTCTAAGTGCTGCCTTTGGAATCATTGGACGCACTGCAGAAGCAGATGTGCGAGCTGGTGCTGGTTGCTATGCAGCTTGTTATACATATAGCTGCAGTAAAGGTTATTTTTCCTTTCAAGACCCCTTATTTGTTATAGAGAAATTTTGCAATTTGAGTATTGAGGTTTCTTTTTTTTCAAATCATTTGCTTATGCTTAACTAAAGGGGAAAGGGGGGATAAAACTAAAGGAGAAAGGAAAGAATTGCTGTTGCCTGCTTTTATGTGTATTTGCATTAATTGCCGCAGGGTCAAAACATTGCAAGTATTGCCTAGCCATTGTTCTTCAACATTTAAATTGGAAATCTTCTATATTTAAATGGATGATTTGGTTTGTTGAAGAACTGCCAGGGTCTGAATGTGAAGATAGATTTAACAGTATTCAGCTAGGCAATTCTCTAACCTAGAAAAAAAAAAGCATATTATGCTTGTTATTATAGTGTATAAATGTATGTAGCCCTTAAAGTGTAGGTGGTTTACTTTTTAAAGTCTTAAGAGTCAATTTCTGACATCCTGCCTCGTGCAAAATCTATGTTGTCAACCAAGCAGGTGCTTTTGTTGGATGTTCCCTTGAAGGGAGCGTTGTCACAACCCGTGCCCGAGAAAATTCGAGATTTTATGGTAGCCAGTTACTAAAGGCATCTGACATACTTATTGGATCGTTGCCAAGGCCACCTGCAGCAGCCATGCTCTACCGTGCACTGGGAGATCTATACCAGAAGCTTTAAGGGCTACCATTACAGTTTCGAAAATGTATAGTATCCTTTGCATTCAAGGTTCAGGAGCTGAAGTTCGTGTCTCTTGAACTGCTGTCAGCCACTTTTATTCCTTCGTATACGAACAGTTAATTCCCACAATTCTTTTGCCAATGTAAATAGCTGCCTAATGGTGTACAGTATTGATTAAACTAAAGGAATATGTGCTATATCTGACAAAAGCGAGGGAAGCTCCCTTGTCAGATTTACATTCATGGTCATATTGAGAAAAGGAAAAAAGGAAACTGGTGCACTTTGTTCTTCTTTGAAATGCATTAGTATTTGCTTCGTTGCAATTCGCAGCTTTAACACAAGGAATGGAATGGCCGCCTTGGGCAGACCTGAGGTCTTTAAGGAACGTGCTGAACTGTTGAATTCACATGGCACGCTTCTAGACTAGTTGGTTTAGAAATTATCTTAAAGCAAGAGTCCTGCTCTTTGAAGAGTATAAACAAGTCCCAAAAAAAAAAAAAAAAATTCCACCCAAGTTGCATTTATGAAAAGGGGCAAAAATGATAAAGGACCTCTGCCTAGCTTGATAATATGTTAAATTTCATGAAGAGGTTACCATCTGCTTCTACTTGGTTGTTCTGCTTCTAATTGAAAAAAGGCGACAGAAAAAGCAACAGTGATCTATCAATTTTCAAGCCACACACGTCAGGAAGTAACAACAGGTAGACACGAAACTTGTCAATTGTCAGAACTAAGTTACCACAATAGTCGTCCTTCACATTCAAGCCGATTCCAGTTACAAACTATAATCACATGTAACGAGTGTTTGTATAGGCTGCAGATGGCGAAAAATTGCCGTAAAATGAAAAAAGAATGTGCAAAAAGGGAAGAAAAATGGGTGGAAAAAGTTCAAGAGCCACTCATGGAATATCCATTTATACTGAATATCTAAGCTTTACTATCTAAGACGGTGAAAAAGATCTAAAAAAATAAATGGAAAAAAAAAAAAGAATATTTCCCCTATTCTACATTATAACATCACTGATTCCACCAATTAATAATCCTTCAGAAGTATTGACACAGATAATCACTTCATCTTTGCAAAAAGGACATCAGCTCATGCACACATACTGACAGATTGATATTCTGTTCCGCATAAAACTCACTCCCTATCTGCAACATCAAAACAATTTGTTAACATGTCAAATGAAATTTATGTGATACACTGCCACAGTTGGACAATCTTGTACCGCTTACCTGGTTTTAGAGTTCCCTAAGGTAAGCTCAAGATCATCGGATACGAATTCCTCATGTATCCTCTCCCCTTCCCACGGCTTGACCAGTCCCTTGGTACTGTTGCCAAATGCAAACTCAGCAGAAACAGCATCAGCCATGGGGACATCAGCAGTTTGATCAAAACCAGCTGCAATAGCTGGGGAGCATGCTCCGCTCTGCCCTGGAGTCCACATGCGGGATCCTCCATTTGAAAGTGGCTCTTTGATGCCAAATGGATTTGATGCAACAAGGCTGAAGGTTGGAGATGAAGGCCCATCTTGGGGAGTTTGAACACCGGACAGCCACCCCGAATCAGGGGGAGTCTGACGACTGGGACTAGGTGGGGTAGACGAGGGTAAGAAGGCGTATTGCTGTCCCCACACAGAACCACATATTTGTTCATTCCAATTATCTTGCATCCGTGGGGTCCGGGCAGTAGGAGAACTCAAGGGAGGGGTGACTGGAGCACTTATAGAGCCACCAGGGATGTAAATATGGTGTGGGAGCTTGGATGAAGCAGGTGACGAGCCGGATGATAAATTTTTAAGCCAAGGTATGAGGGAATTAGCATCAGCACTACCATTTGCATTGGCAGCATAATGGGATGAAACAGGGCTTGGGAAGGATGATGACGAAGGACTTGGATTGTATGATACGCCAGGACTTGGTTGGTATGATGAGCAAGGGCTCATTGTTGCAGAACCACCAATAATATCCATGCGTTCAGCAGGCTTGCATCCCTGCAAAGGAATAGAAATCATAAGCTCAAAAAGGTAGGAAAAAAATCTTTGGTATCAGCAAGGTTCCAAAATGCAGGCACTAATGCATGCCTAGAATCTAAGGATCTATTGCAAGCAGACATGAATACTTCTTTAGCGTGGAGGTAACTTGATGTAACACATCCTGATTTCTATATCATGATCAAGACTTTCATAACTCCCAACAAGTTTAACATGTTTGTTGTAGGAAGGATGCCCCATAAAAAGATGTAGATTATGGATGCAAGGCATTTTAAGACCACCATTCAAGGATACACAGTGAAACATTTAATATTTAGTTACTGAAAGCATAGAACTATAGAACACAGATGAGGAAAAACAGGAGACTAAGCTGTTTCTAGAGCATTCCAACATGCATTACGTTGGTCCATAATATGGCTACCTAGCACTGAATTCTCCATGAGATAGCCAACACCAACCACGCATGGAGTTTTGGACTAAATATAGTTGGATATTACCTGTTAGCTTATTCCTTAATTAATCTGAACTAGAAACCTAAAATGTTAGCGCAACAATCTAACTTCAATTTCTGGAAATCGCGCCCCTTGACAAGTTAGCTATTGTTTGCTTCATATAATCCAATGTAATTTACACTATTTTAATAAACCCATGACCAATCAGCCATATTATGTAAGCATGATCAATTTGATTAGGCCAGTAAAAAAATACGAACAAATCCTTGGAAAAAAAGAATAACTACCCGAACACCCAAAAAAAAAAAAATCCAAGATTGGTTCTATCTATTTGCTGAGAATTTTCTGCATTTGTTTTCCTTTTCTGCCAAAACAATCTTTCAGCAAGTAGAATGGAACTTATTAAGATAAACTCCAAAAATAGTTCGGTCATCATAAAACCAAACAAAGTCATGGGAACCAAAGCAAATAACGTTGGTTATTTTTGGATTTATATTAACTTTCGTAGATATTTCTGCACCTAATAAGATCAATCAAAATTTTGGACCCAACAAATTTTGAATTAGAAGGTCAAAGTAAGGACCTCATCCATGGGAAGATCAGTTGGTTTTCAAGATAATTTACGTACCAAATCCTCAGATGTCATTTTCAGCATATATTTAAAATCCAATTTCGCTTCCAAAAACAATATTATCATCTATACATCCGCATGTCCAATCTAAGCCCTTCTCTTTCACCTTACAAAATCAAAATCACTTATCTTTTTTTTTTTCAATTTCTATTGCCTTTAAAAAATCAAAAATTAAATCATGCCACAAATTTCAATGCTGGTGACCAACAAAATCAGTTAGTGTGTTTGGACAGCCAATTATTTGGCCAAATATATTTGCTGACATCACCATTACAATTTCCAATACACCTTTTTATCTTCCCAATTATCTTTTTATCTCACATATATCACATCACAAAAAGTATTACAGTAAAAATATTTCAAATAACTTACAATACAAACACACTCAGTATTATCTAAAATGGTGGACCAAGAATTTGTACGCACCCCAGATCCACAAAAGCGATTCTAAAGCATATCATGATGGAACCCCAAATATAAGAAAGATACCTGTCCCCCCCTCACCCCTTTCCCCTCTCCTCCAACCCAAAAAGTCTCTTTACCAAAAGACAAGAGAAACATACAAATCACCATCATAGCAATGTCAACTGCATCGTTAGACAATTCCCTCCCCTTCCCCCAACCTACAAGGGGAAAAAAACAGAAAAAGGAAAGAAAAACACCCAGCACAGTAAACCCCAATAACTCAAACAGCCATGACTGAACTGGACCACAGCTCCTCTTCATCCAATCCCACTTTATTCAACTGTACAAAAATCCTCCACGTTTTTTTCTGTATATGACCCGGGGTGGAGAACTTGAAAATGATATCCCAATTTCCTTGCCAGCTCAAATGAGAAGGTTGGATAACTAGCTCTCCCGACTTTTTACAAGGTTAAAACCACGCGCTCCACAGCCTTGTTCAAAATCATCACTGGCTCACTGCATGTAATTATCATAAAGTTTCTCATATCTACTTTCCCCATCTATCTCATGCTACTCCTACAGGCTACAACTACTATACCAATTTTGAAACCAACCCAAAAAGATAAACAAACAAAACTAGAAAAAGTGAGCAAACAATTTAGGCCCACAATTGACAATCAACACACCCCACCTCCACCGCAAAACCCAACAAGCCCACGCTTCCTATGAGTAAGAAGAAAAAGGTGTTAAACCCGGGAATCTAGGAAGAGGATAGACCCCAGACAAACCTGAAAAAGAAATTTTTTTTGAAAAAAAGAGAGAGATTTACCAACTTAATAAAAAAGGGGAAAAAAAACCCAGTTTGGCGTAAACCCCATTTCATGATTTAGAGTCCAGTAAGTGCTGCACCATTGGTTGTACTCTTCCTGTGAAAAGGTATACTCTTGTCCTAATCAAGTACCACCAGTAGTGAAAATATTGTATGAATTTTACATGCCTAAAATGCCCTTTTGAAATATGAAAATTTCATAAAAGAATAAAAATGTAAGCCACCGTCAAAGGGGAAATCTAACCACAGTAGATCTAAGCTGCAACTCGCAGAGTACAGGTGGAAATTTGACAGATGCCCTGACGATTGGGGTAGCTGAATTGACTAAACTACCCATACTAAGTAAATTTAATTTACCTCTACGAACATGAACTTATGACTTATCCCCATTTTCAAGAGGCTATTTTTGTCTAAGAGTGAATTCTCCAGGTGGGATGTCCAGAAACCTTCCCCTGACGATCAGACTGCATAGATTGAATCTAAGACGTTGTCTTTCCACTATCTTCTCTTTCATATTTTTTATTGTTTTTTGGGCTCGGCTAAAAAACATCCAATAAGAAAAAAAGAGAGAATCTTTTGAGCTTCGAGCATTTAATCTGGGGTAGTTAAAATTTTGCAGTCTGAACGTGATCTACTTTCTTCTCAACTGCAAATTTTACAGACGGTTAATTTAAATCTGCATCTTTTACCACTTGAATAGCATTTTTATTAAAAATAATAATATAGAAAAAGACTAATCTCCAACGCTACCATGCTAACGTGCGCCGAAAGCAAGTGGAGCGCAATTTAGCAGTCGGCATCCGGACAACTATATCGCAAAAGCAGTTGACTGGCTCAATCAACCGCCCAATAATGAACCGGTAAACCATGCTAACATGAGCTGAACGCACCCGGCGCTCTTTAGCACCCATTCAGTCTTCACTTCCATGAATGGCTACCTGGCTACTAACGTTGTTCATTTAAAAAAAAAAAATCATACAATACTTGAAAGTATTTTTTGAAGATTAAGAAGTGTTTTCAAGGGGCAAAAAAACACTAGAATCAAATTCCAGATCGACGGACGATTGGAAACTTACGACATCACCGGCGCAGAATTTTTTCTTTTTTTTGAGTAGGATAAGTCGTCTAACCTTTCTGTAAGTGGTGCCGTCTTCTTCAACGACCCAACCGGCTTCGTTACAGAGAGCTTTCAAGACTTCGTTATTATCGCAATGCTTGGGGAGCTTAAAATTCCCGTACATCCTCAGTCCGGCGAAGATCTTGGCGGCGATCGCCCTCCGCCGCCGCTCTCTCCGCTTGTTGTTCTCTCTTTCCTTCCATGTCGGAAGCCTCGTCCCCGACGTCATGTAATGAAAAAAAAAAAGACAGATACGACGCCGTCTATCAACCAACTCCCACCCAGCTCCACCGGAAAAATTGACAAAAAAGCACCGGTTGAACCGGGGTTGGATTTATTTGGGCCGGTTTGATTGGACCGGGTTGGGTTTTTAATGAGTGAAATGATGAGATGAGAGTCGAAATAATTGAACGAGGACGGAGGATTTGAGGGGTTTAGAAGGCGAGCGAGCTAAATATTGGGGTATGGGTGGGAATTTGCCATTGGGATTGTAAAGAATTAACGAGATGTGCCATTCATGGATTCTTTTAATTCCGATGAAGACCTGGAAATGCGGGTCGTGCACGTGTTTAGTCTTTTGTAATAGAGAGAGAGAGAGGAGACTGTCAATTGCAGCAGTTGCAGGGAAAGTCTGTGAAAACGTGGGATGATGCGGTTTTATACGGCTGCGTTCTAGCTAAGGTTTCTTATTTACTTTTTAATATAAATAGGAGATTTCAAATCCGTAATCTCTTATTATTCAAGTTCTCGAATCCTTCGATCTATCTTTTTTTTTTCAGTTAAGATTTATTGCTTCATTTTGATCTAATATAATATTTTATTACTCTCTTGTTCTACTTTTTAATTTTGTTTAAACACTCTCCTTTAATATTATTGTTTCCATAGAAAAATTGAAAAAAGTTTAGGTGAAATACACTTTGATTAGATATTTAATGTTATTTATGAATGGACTAAGAGCTTGAAAATAATTTGGATGAACACAAATTTGACTGCAATGCTATATAACATTGTCGAAAACCAATTAGCATTCACTATTGTGACACCTTATAACGAACAAGATTGATATTGGTCTTTTCAAACCTTCGTCCCTTGATTTTTAACGCTACTCGATATTATTGATATCAAACAGTTCGATATTTAAGGATTTACTAATGAGTACATGCTATGCTATTAAAATAAAGGGAAATTATCATTATTTCTCAAGCATTATGCATCAAGGAATTTAGAGATATTCTATATAGATTGAAGATTTTTTAAAAAAAAAAATTGTAGAATGATATTGTATTACTTTTTGTGATATGATATATGTGAGAAAAAGTGATTAAAAATATAAAAAGATGATTAGAAAACATGTTTACGATGTGCAATAAAAAAAATTTCCCTAAATATTTTGAAGAGGTTTTGAAAATGTTATAAATACATAATAAATGTATAGGAAGAATTCAATTGTATTCTTGAATTTGAAAGTGATTGAGTAACAAATTTTTTTAAATAATATTTCACTTGCATTGTAAACACAATTTTCAACCCAACTTTTTATATTTCTAACTTCTCTTCATTTCACATACATCACATCATAAAAAGTATTATAATAATTATTCCAAATAATACAGCGTCCAAACACTCGAGATTCGACTGACTAGATTTCGAAGTTAGAGCTTTGAACAATAAAGAAATTTATAGCTTTTCTTTATAAGAATGGTAAGATCTCTAAACACACACACATATACATATATATATATATATATATATATATATATCAGGACCTCTAGGATTAGTTTTAGTAGTATAACTAGTTTTGTACCCGTTCGTTAAACAGGAATTTTCGAAAAATAATAAATTATTTAGTCAATTTTATAAAAATTTCGATACGAAATACAAATTTAATGTATATTTTATTATAACTTTTCTTAAATATATTACTATATACGCATTGTAATATAAATTTGAACATCTAATTCTGTAAATAATAATTCAAAAATAGAAAAAATAACATTCGACAATACCATAACATTAAAAAACTTGAAAATAAATAAAAAGTGCAGTAAATAGTATCAAATAATATTCTACTCTTCAGAAACTTGTTTTTGTTTTTCTTCTGTTTGAACATTCTCCTCAATTTGTCCGTGCAAATCAATTTTTATTGATTTTTCATTATCACTGCATGATAGCAAAGCAGGATAACTAAGTATAAAAAAATAAATGATTTATCGTATTCAAGGTTGTGTATAACAATACGTAAAGATTATAATTTAAGAAAGTAAAATAGTATATTAAATCTACCTTCTCATGCAAATCTTTTTATGAAGATTCCATTCCTTTGTGGTTTTTGTTGAACCCTTTGATGAATGATTCATATGAAGTGTATTGAAATGTTGTTGATTAGAATTATTTGTTATACTAATTGAGATCTGGGAAGAAGATGCTTCATGTTGGTATTGGTTGTCGGTTCCACCAATCTGATAATGATTTATCAAAATTAAAGGCAAAAATATTATGTGAGATATAATATGTGAAATATAAGAGAAATTTATTACTAATTCAAGATATATTAATAATCCTATGTGTTTATAAAAAACAAACAAAAAATAAAAACAAAAAAAAACAAAATTCAAGATATATTACTAAACTTTTACAATTGAAGATCAACATGCCTTTTTTTTAAAAAAAAAAATACGTATTGAAAGAAGATGTACCTGATAATCAAGAGGAGTGGAAACCCAAAATCGATACTTTAATGTGCCAACCACTTGCACTGAAAATACCTAACCATGAATTTGATGCTTGAAATCAATATATTAGAGGTTATATGTAGTGTAGACATAAAAAATAAGAATTGATAAGAATATAAAGAGATATTGATAAGAACATTAAAAGTAAATTTATTTTGATTTAAGTTGTTTAAAGTATGTAACTTTGGGTAGGAAATAAGAATCCTATAATATTAAAAATTCTTATAGGAAATAAAAGTGCGTTCTCAATACAGATTTTACCTACCTTGAAAGACCACCTCAACTATATGAAGTCCTTTAAGTGCATGGACTCCTATGGTGTGGGTTCACACACTAAATACTCTCCACCATCTGAGCAGAAATTTATTGTGAATCCTATAACCTAGTAATGAGTATAACCTGCATGTTTTGATTAACAACGAATAGGTTTTTAGGAATTTACAAACTTGTGCTCAAATAGGAATTTATATTTGACCGTACGGGTCAAATACATACAGTTAATTGGATTCAATTAACTTTTTTTTTCCATAAATTTCGTGCTATGCACTATGTCTTGATAATGCACTTAATAATAAAATTTATTAAGAATCCTATTTCCAACATCAGATATTGACTTCTATTATTAATGGTTCCTTTTGAAATTAGTTACTTTTCTACTTCTTGTAGTGATAACAATTCTTATTTACTTCGATTCCCTATGCAGTACACAAATTATTGGCATGAATTTGAAGATATATCTAATAAAGATATTTATGTCGTATTACTTTCCAGTTCCTTTCTTGGGTAAGAAATAAGAATCATATGCTATTAAGAATTCTTATAGAAAATAAGAATTGGTATATATCTAAACAAAAAAGGAGCAATTCACGTAGGAAACTACTTACCGTCTCGTTAAGTCACATAGAAAAGAGAAAATATGAAGGGATAAGAATGAAAATACGACTTTATTATATATATATATATATGACTGAGTCTTCAATTTAAATAGTGTGTCCACTCCAAATGTGAAAACAAAAACATGCCGGTGGTAAACAAAAACGCTAGCCAACTTTTATGCTAGCGCAGGAAGGGATGAGGATGGAAGAAAGGTCAAAATCATTTTGAAAAAAAATCAAGCTTTGTTGAGAAAAAGATGAAAATGACTCTCCATTTAATGCATCGAATGGTCAATCTATCAAAGAGTTTAGGAAGTGTAAACTTTTGACTTTCGGCGTTCTTCTCCTTTCTTCAGCAAGAAACAGCTACAAGAAATTGAGTAAAAATTGTTGAAACCTTTTAACCGGACAATGAGATGAGCAATTTGCGTTGCCAAGCGAATATATTAAACTAATACCGTTAATATCTCATTTTCAACCAATGAAATAAACTCATCTCAATTTTTAATAAAGTAAAAAAGAAACACCCTTTTCAGGGTAGTGTTATCTTTCATTAATTTAAAAATATCCTTTTGCATTTTTTTTTTGTTTGTAAACTTGACACTTCCTTTTGCTCAACCAAACCATAAAAAATATAGGTTGAGAAAATGTAATTTTAGCTGTTAAACTAGCAAAAATACAATTATTGAAATTGATTTAATCGTCAATGAAGATTTTTAGAGTTTTTTCTGTTATCAGATTCAAGATTTTAATATATAATATATATATTTTTTTGAGGAACATAGTACCGAATTCACTAGTGTTTTTTATCCCCTTTGACAGTCCAAACTTGCTAGTATTTTTTTTTTTTTTTGAAAACTTGCTAGTATTATCAAACTTGTAATACTTCTGACGATGCTAAATTTTAGCATGATTCACTTTCACTCTTTACTCTTTAGTCCAAAGCTCCAGAATATGAAAACGAGAAGGAATTCGTCAAGAAAAGGAAAGGGAGCCGCATTTGACTTGGTTCGGAGCGTGGGACCCAGCCCAAGTGTCATAATCCATTACTCGACCGCAATTGCACGTGCGTCGCAGGAGACAAATTAGACTGGATTTTATATGAGTAAATTACACGAACCCCCTGTAGTCATACTTTTGTCTCACTTTGCCCCTCTAGTTGTCTTTCTTATCACTTTACCCGTTGTTAGACCTGAGTAACAAAATTCTGCCTTTTTTTTTTCTTGTTTTCTTTCTTTCAAAATATACCATAAATTAATTTTTTCCATTCACTATATGGCATAATAAAATAAATAAAAAACATTTGGTTCAAAAAACAAGGAATAAATTACAAAATTTATTTGAAAAGCTAAAAATTAATAACACATTATGATGATATAAAATCTTTTAATTGGGCACTTGATATGTATGTAGTATCACATTGATTACATTTCAATACATAATTAATTGAATGTCTAATTATCATATTTCAAGGCATATATAGATGAATTGCTAATTTTCACGCTACAAATATAATCTATAAATCTCATAATCAAGATTACCATTGAAGGCATAGTCAATAGAATATTGAATAAATATAATTAGTGCAAATATGATGTACATAGCTTATGATCATTTAGTTATTCATAGCAAACGATTTTAAAACACAAAAAAAAAAAAAAAAATTTTGCATCAAAGGACTGATTCCAAGTATGCAAAGGCAAACAAGTGTATAGTACACTGGTGAAATGAAAGAAATGAGAAGAAGCAAAAAGAAAATGAACAAGGCAAAAAAAAAAGAGAAAATTACTATGGGAATAACTTGTCTAATAACACTTACAAATCAATCAAATAGGGATTAATTGCTGATATACAAATTTGACTGAGTTAAGTGCGACAAACATATAGGTAAATGTGGGCTTAGTATAGTTTACCCATTTTATTTTTCTGTTCAAAATTGGAAAACATTACTCATCTGGAATGGAGGGGAGTGGGCTGACCTAGTTTGAG